GTCTCTCTACTAAATCTGTTACAAGGCTCTCTACTAATTCCATTGCATGTGCCTCTAATTTCTTTGCAGGTCTCTCTCCTAATTTACCGTATATACTCGAGTATCAGTCGATTTTTGAGGACCTAATTTTGAAGCTAATTTTAAGAGGGTCGTATCATACACGAGATATAAAATTAGCGTATGTACTGCCGGCCCTAGCTACACCGTTATCCAAACTATATATCCATTTACTGTTGTCAAATTAGCTTAAAACATAGGTCTTCAAAGGCCGCATGATACCCTAATATATACGATATATACTATATAAAAAATGCGGTCCTATTTGTGTGTAATTATTGCCCACTTTGTGAAGGTGACTATCATTATTCTTTTGGATGATGATGACGATGTTTTCCTACAAGAAGAAACAGCATCTACATACGGGAATTATTTTAGGTGTGTAAGGATATTACTCAATGCCAGACATAGCCTCTGGGCATCTCCTTCACGATCCTGCCGCAAGGTGAGGTCAAGAACAGCCGCTAGCGGATCAATAGCAATGAATGGCCAGACCAAGTTTCAATACAATTAATCCTGCGATTACAGTCATATCACGTTTAAACATCGGTTCTCGTACGGTCAATGAAGTTAAGCTACGTCGAGCCTGGTTAGTACGAGTGACCGCTTGGGAATGCCAACCTCTCTAAGTTTTAATGTGCAAATGATGTAATGGATAATGATGCGATATTGTTAACCAGAGAGCCAAGTTCCAATCCTGGTTGGGTTCGTTATATTCATTTACGCGCAAATGTGGGAAAGGTATGAATCCATCTTTTATTCTTCTTCAATATACGGGTTAATAAGTAAGACTTGTATCACTAAACCATCATTAGCTAAAAAAATTAAATAACCTGCAAAGGGTTGATATGCCGTAAAAAAGAACTTTCTTATTCTCTCTTTCGGGAAATACCTGACTTTCATTTCTGTATAGGCCTTGCCTACAACTTGAAAGCTTTTAACAAAATTGAAAATGCAACCAAATCTTCAATCGTGAAACACACACACACACACACGCACACAATTTTAGAGAATTTACACTTGAAGTATTGATTCAGTTTTATATCGGTACTAACATGTATACGTATATACATTCACGTTTTGTATTTGCGGGATTTTCTTGCCTACATCAGTTATAATCTTAAATATTAATCATTTTATATTATTATTCTTATCCTTATCTATCTATCTATCTATCTATCTATCTATCTATCTATATATATATATATATATATATATATATAGATAGATAGATAGATGAATAGATAATATTATATATATATATATATATATATATATATATATATATATATATATATATATATATATATAAAAACTTCCAAGAGGATAGAATCCAGGTAGAACTCAATGTCCAGGACAGAGTAAGAATATAATATAAAAGGCTCAAACACTAATATTCCGTGGTTATAATTTATTACATTGGAATCGTAATCACGATCCAATTCGTCAGACATACAAATTCAAAAAGAAATCGGGAAATATATCTCCGGGTATAAGAAACAAAATTTTAGTGTGAGTGTATATGTGGGAGTGGGAAACAAGTGTGAGAGGGAAATGTATGAAAGCTCTAGAGAGAGGGTGTAACAGAAGAAAGACGAACAGGAAAACCTAAAGGTGAAGGTGGGGATTAAAATTTAACAGAGTGAAGTTTTAAAGAGAGAAGTTAAATAAAGTTTTAAATGAGTGAGATACAGATAAATATGAATTATTTTTCGATGTATAATTCGCTACCGATTCGCTGACCTAAAATTAAATTTAAAAAACAAACACCGGAAACGAGTGTATACATTTGCGGTGACACAACGCACAATAAAAAACGATATGATCTAAACTTAAAATTCAGAAGATGAGAGAGAGAGAGAGAGAGAGAAGAAAAAAAGGAGGGGCAAAAGGAGCCCCAATCTCGAATTGTAGGAGTAGAGCTATTTGTCCAATATATATATTTAATTCCCTTAAAATTGTTCTTTATTTAACGCTAATCTATTGATATATATATATATATATATGTGTGTGTGTGTGTGTGTGTGTGTGTATAGTAATCGTTACAAACAAAGTAAGACCGCTAAGACACAGGGTGAGAGAAGCATTATAAAAAATCGGCGAGAACAATAATAGAACAAGTATTAAGACGATAGCAGATAGCGATTAACATTACATTTAAATATTTGAAGACTAAATTTAACTGGGGAGCAAGTATGCGGAAGAGAGTTCCACAAGCAAGAAGTACAATAGAAGAAATTACTAGCATGGAACTTACGGTTACCTCTATCCGCGATTTCAACGGTAAAGTGATGAGACTTAGCCGCTAATCTAGTACTGCGCTTAGACTCATTGATTCTATGTACCATAGAGGAAAGTTCATCAGGAAAATAACCATGAACGTATTCATATAAAAGGCACAGAGAATATAGTTATGGTATTATATATATATATATATATATATATATATATATATATATAGTCGACTCTCCCGTCGAATTCGACGTATGAGGCTCAAGCAGATCAGTTCCTAGGAATCCGACAGCCCAACAACAGCATATGAGATTTGATTATAGTGGTGAAGGTTTCGTGCAAGGCCATCCACACTTTTTAAAGGGAAGAATACAGAGACTTGGTGCACTAAGTGCCACAAAGCCCCCAAACGACCCTCCGTAGGTTTTGAATTCGGAGTTGTCCTTCTCCTAGATCAGTTGCCATCCAAGGCTATGGAACCCACACTATCCTGCTATTTACCCATAGCTGGAGGGAGAAGAGGATTCACACCTGTCCCAAGGGTATTAGCACATAAGTCAATTCTCATCCAATTCAACGCTCAACTCGTTCTGTGTACTGACACCTGATTTTCCCCCTAGAACTGAGACTCTGTTGATTGGATGAGAATTTACGAGCAAAGTATTCAGCCTTATCGGCTGAGGAAGGCAGGCCCTCAAATTTGGTGAACAAAGGAGATATTGTGTGTTTTCTATTGTTTAGTACGCTCTTGCAGAGTCGACAGTAATCTTTGGAGCCGAATTTGCGAGATGCAATCCGTTGAACAAATAGTGAATTTGCTTCATTGAGGACACGCTTACACTCATTACGGGTTAAGACAAAGGGGCGTCTGTTGCAGTCTAACATGTCACTACGGTACAGGCGGAAGAAGTGATTCCTCTGGGCAATGGAAGCTGAGCAAGCAGCAGGGAACCAAGGGGATGAGAATGATTTACCTTGCGGGTATGAAATCCTCGATAGCAGCTTTTACCTAGAAGGAGACCTCAGAAGCGCATTCTTGAACGGGGAGATTAAAGACGGCATTCCAGAGGACATCGCAAAGGAAGTCATGGAACGAGTCCCAGTCAGCTCGTTGATAACCAAAAGATGTTCTGTTGGTGGGGGGTTCTTTGCTCGGATAGAGTAGAAGGAGCATGATCAGAGTTGCCAAGAGGGCAGTGCTGCGTGGTACGACAAGACTCGGGGATGAAGGTGAAACAGAGATCGAAAAGGGAAGCCTTACCGTGATGGTTGTTGGGGAAATGGGTGGGGAACTCATCCACTTGTGGTAGAGATTGGGTAATTGAGAAGTTATGGGTTCGTATGTCAGCAAGGTCAGTTATAGAGTTTTTAAGCCACTTGACTTGGGTGTTAAAGTCACGGAACGGGAATATATGAGCAAACGAATGAAGAGAGATAGCCTGGTCTTTATGGTCGGAAATGCTTTCAAGTACACCACAGTCTTGGGAGGATGGATAGCGATAGAGGGAGAAGAGGTAGCTTACAGCATTAAGGAGAGATAGACGGAGACATATGTATGAATGGTTCGGAGATCCGAGAGAGAGTTCCCTAGCCAATGTGAGATGATCCTTGACGTAAACTCCAGGGCCCTGCATGAGAGTTTGAGAGTCTTTTCTCAGCAAAGGAAGGTAACCGTGGATCAAGAGATCATAAGATGGGATAAAAGAGTTGGGTTGGGTCTCGCAGAGAGCCATGTATATCAGGAGGCTTTTCAATGAGGAGTTGGTTCGAATGAGACGGATATTAGAAAAGGAAATGTTAAAGGGTTTAGGTGATTATTTAGAGCTGGTTTAGGTTTACTTTTTTGATCTTTTGTTGTCATGCTGGGTAATGCTGGAAAATGAGAAGGTTTGAATTATAAGTAGCAAACTGTCATTTTATGAGACCGGGATAGAAAGGAGCTGGCGCGGCCTGCAACATAATGTAGCCTTAAGGTTACCCACTGGAGGTGCGTGCAGGGACACCATTCCATGAGCGACATGACACTACAGGCACCACGATATTCTACAACTGTTGATCAGAGCGGCCGCTCAAGAAGCTACGCAAGAGCGCTCCTAACTACCAGTCGGAAAACGCAACCATAAATCTGTCAACCCTGTACTCTCAGAATGCAGAAGCTTTGCCACAGAATGCATACATCACAAGAGAATCAAGACATTACTACCAGCTCATCGGGCACAGTTGCTATGTTGCTGGAAATTGAAATAATTGGCTCACGGGAGTTTCACTGCTATGTAGCGCAAAAAATAAAGTTGCACAGAAGTGTGTTAAATGTGGTGCTGGTGAGTTACATTAACAAAATTAGCGAAATGACGGGGGGTGTAAAAAAAACTATAAGGAGAAAAAATTGATTACAAATTTAAAATTAAAGCCGTTGCATTCGCGTAGTCAGTAAACTGTTACGGGTCCAATGTAAGTAAAAAATAACTGGAAGTAAAAATAGAAAAAACGTATTTGTTGTAGATTTGTTACAGTGTCGCGAACAATTTGGCGTGGGGTCAGGCACCTATATCCTAATAAAATAAGGGTGTGGAGGAATTTAAATTAGTCACGTTTCCAATATTTTAAGGTATACGGTTTCTTATGCCTACATGCAACCATTAGCACAGTCCGTTTATTAAGTACGCCTAGCGTGTATATGTTTTTGAGCATAAATCTTTTCTTTAATAAACATGAATCGCATAGATAGATAGATAGAGAGATAGATAGATAATCAAGCCTTGATAACCAATTGTGTCGTGGCGACAAATCAAGTAGGCATTGTATTTCAACGACGGTGGACTGCAAGGTAACTACGAATCGGCTGGTGGAATTGTGCCAACGTTTGGGCTTCTTTGCCCTAAGAGTGTTCGTATTAATGGCTCCTGTAGCGGCCTCTAAAACCAAAAGAATTGATACCAGCGGCATTTTATAATATGAACCCAATAAACAGTTAAACGAACGATATATATATATATATATATATATATATATATATATAATTTATTCGAAATTATAACATAAATATGTTATAAAATCACTATAAAAATAGCCATTATGTTTCAACACTTCTCCAGTCTTATCAAGTGATGGTGTTGAATGTAGAAACACCATCACCTGATATGACACCAGAAATGTTGAAACAAAATGGCTATTTTTGTAGTGATTTTGTTAAATATTTAAGTCATAATTTTCGAATTTTGGGATTATTGGAATTTATTCTGTATACACCAATCCTATACTTTGTATATATATATATATATATATATATATATATATGTGTGTGTGTGTGTGTGTGTGTGTGTGTGTGTGTGTGTGTGTGTGTGTGTGTGTGTTTATTGAATTATAACATAAATATGTTATAAAATCACTACAAAAATTACCATCATGCTTCAACACTTATCGTGTCTTATTAAGTGATGGTGTTTCTACATTCAACACCATCACTTGATAAGACACCAGATGTGTTGAAACAAAATGGTTATTTTTGTAGTGATTTTATAACATATTTATGTTATAATTTTCGAATAAATTATATTTGTTCTACTGTGTATTGCTGTATTGAGCACACTTTTAAGAATAGTATTTTTGGGGTTATTGGAATTTATTCCGTATAGACCAATATGGCTTGGATATATAGCGATGATTTACCACCGTGAATATGACTTGAGGTGGGGTCCTAGCCATGAAGGTCTGGGGTAATTGGGCTAAGAAATGTAGCTCGCTTGAATATTTCCCATAGTAATCGTGATAGCGTAGTGACCGGCTTACAAAATTTCGTCTTTGGGATAAGGGTTGCTGGCTAGAGAACAATTCATCATTTACATGGCTGTATAATAGCTTTCGAACTCCGTCAATACTGGACTGTGAGGACTGGCCAGCAACACTTTATTTTTTGGTTTTCGTCACTCAGTTTCTCCTTCATTTCATTTATTTTATTCGAGGTCAATTCCAATATTCCAAAGTATTCATAACGTTCTTTTTTTTGCTGGCGATTTCCTCATTGAGTAGTTAAATAATTTCTTTTGCATGTGTGCATTTTCTACTTTGCATATTTTTCTATTCAAGTTTCCATCCTAAGACCAGGTTTAAAATTCTGACAAGTAATATGATTAACTCATCCAAGTATAATTGATTTGGTTTGTTTTGGTTTGGTTTGTTTTACGGCATATTAACATCAATGGGTTATTTAATGCCGACAACATTTACTTTGCTTGTAATATTTTGTTTTTGTCAAAAATCCTTTAAAACTATATTACTGGTAATATTTTTTTTCTACAGTATTTCTGGTATTAAAACCTATTTTTACACTTTCGTAGTGTTTTTACCACAGTTTCGGGTTTAACTATTTGCCCATAGCTGGGATCCTAACAGGTGCTACCACTCCGGGTCAGGGTGGACCTGGGGACACCAGCAATTAAGAGGTAGTTCCACGCTCCTCAAAACCTCCTGATCAGAGGCCTTGCTGTTGGACGTAGTTTATCGTCATATCCAGGACGGCCAAGTATAAGTGATAATCATTATTATATAAGATATCAAACAAAAAGACATTGACTGAATTTCTCATGATTAGAGACAATTTATTGTTTCTTATAAACATGCTATGATAATTAATAATATATAGGAAAAAACTTAACAAAGGAAATCAGTTTGTTAAAAAATCTGATTGACCAAACTTTGATATAAATACGATATTATTTTTAAATATCTTCAGTAGGTAGGCAGTCATTGCTCTCCACTTTTCGCTATTATATGTAAATTTCTATGTATTCTTGGAAAAGATGACAGAGTGTATGATTTCCCATATTCTCTCACACGACACCTTCCCCATCACTGAATAGTAGTCGGCAACAATTACCTATTACGGGATAATAAAATTATCCAATGTAGACAATATGCACTGTGCTATTTATTTCCACCAAAACATTTTCTTCTGCTGAAAATACGGTTGATTTGACTTTCAGTAAGTAACACTGACAATGCTAGTTTAGTGTATTGTCCAGAAGACAGTCGTGAAGACAAATGCAGTGACACAATTGATTCTGCTTAGCTCGGAGAATGACCGTAGTTATCCAAAAACCATTTCAAGTCACATATGATTCCGTGCCAATGTTGCGTAAATCAGGAATGTCAAAAGCGAGAATCTAGAGACATTTAACTCCCAAGATGGTGCAGTAAATGACGACGGAAACAGTAACGGAGAAATTTGAACGTGCACAGAATAGCGAAAATTATCGTTTAGAAAATTTTCAAAGAGTTCAGTGATGGGAAATTCTCCTTAGAAACAAGGGAAATGAAATATTATGAAGGACATAATCTACTTTATGACAGTAAATACAGAATAATTTTCTCAGAGATGAAGAAGAATTCTCAAACGATTAAAATGTTGGTCTACCGACATATACTGAGAACATCACGGTGGAACATGTTAGAAATGAGAATGTTTTAAGCAGAATAGTATCTACAAGGAAACTACTGCTAACAATCGGAAATGACATTTCTATAATATGTAATGAGGAAAGAAGGTTTGGAGAATTTAACACTCACATGATATACTGAAGGCAAGAGAATCAGAAGAAAACAGCAAATAACCCATTTGACATGTTTGGGTGGATCAATGACAGGAAAAGGATAAAAAGTGGTAACGAAGGCGTAATATTGATTTCTTGTAACAAATGACAGGATATTGGAGAGAGCCATGATTTCCCCCATCCTGAGAGAAATTAGCATATAGAAGAAGAAGAAGAAGAAGAAGAAGAAGAAGAAGAAGCATGAACCTACTTCCTATATAACGAAAATAAAAACATTAGAGTATCACCCACTTAAACAGATCAAAGATGTAAAAAAAAATCAATACTATATATGTCTGTGTGTGTGCGTGCCTGCGTGTATGAAACCTTTCACACATTACACTCGAATCCTAGTTAATTCTAAAGGAAATTATCTACGTTCTTCAGATCGTATTCATTTTTATAAACCTATTACACGCATATATATATATATATATATATATATATATATATTAGGAAAAACATTGATATTTATAATTTAGTTCTTAGCCTTTATTTTTAAATACTATTTATATAAAAACATTTTTATACATTCTTTTTATAGACACAAATATTTAAGGAAATGCCCTGTTTTATAATAAGCAGTACTAATAACATTTACCAGACTGAATATCCGAGAAATTTTCATACAAAGTACTCATTCTCCGACAGGAATACGAACCTGTATCCTATATGAAACCGTCATTTAGCCTCACGTGAGATTAACCGATCCAGCCACGGAGAATCGTTCGTTTAGTAAGGTCGATTTTACTGTTTTTAAACTTCAATCTTATATATATATATATATATATTACCAAGACTGCAGACATATTTTATTTTGGCATATGAGATAGATAGGTAGATAGATACATTCATGCAAAAATAAATAATTGCTTACAAATATTTGAAAAAAAAGAACAGGAAAAACTATTCTTTATCGACACGTTTCCTTCACTGATAGACATCACCAAGACAAATTTAAATTTGTATTGGTAAAATCTATCAGATTACAAAACGCGTCGGTAAAGAATTTTTTTTCTTGTCTTTATTCATATTGAGTTGTTTTTTTTTCAGAGACATTTTATTTATATCTAAATCCTCTACATATATATATATATATATATATATATATATATATATATATATATATAAGCATTTGTCTTACTTCCAGAACAACAAAAATACACATACATACGCGTGCGCACGCACACATACATATAGATGTAATATATTTTAAGAGGAGCAGAGAGAGTTTAGAGAAGGGAATATTTAAATATGATAATCTTCTTTCATAATTATATATACGCGAAGATACACCGTGAGTGTTTTACAGAAATTTCGGATTGGTTGATGAAAATGAGGCGAATCATAGCGGTATAAGGCCGCGTTGTGTTTAAAAACGAATAAGATTTCCCAAGACTGATCTGGGTGTAATGATATTAGGTTAAGCATAATGCGGTCAGAAGTGAGAGAAAGGAAGGAAAGAAATAAAGAAAAAACCCAAGTAAATAATATTAATTAAAGAATTAATAAAAAGATAGGAGATTTAGTAGAAATATTATAATGAATGCAGAAATCAAAATCAGGAAAATTATTAAATGAGCTCGAAAGGAAAGGAGAAAGAAAGAAAAAGATTTAAAAGGACAGAAAGGAAAAAGGATTACGTAAGAGTTCATAAAAGAAAGAAAAAAAAAGAAAGAAAGAAAGAAAGAAAAAGATTTAAAAGGACAGAAAGGAAAAAGGATTACGTAAGAGTTCATAAAAGAAAGAAAGAAAGAAAGAAAGAAAGAAAGAAAGAAAGAGTAAAAAGAAAAGAAGAAAGAAAAATATTTAACAGGACAGAAAGGAAAAATAATTAGCTAACAGTTCATAACAGAATGATAGAAAAAAAATATTTAAAAGTACAGAAAAGAAAAAAAAAAGAATATAAAATACAAATAAAAAATTAAAGGGAAAGAAAGCGAAAACAAGTTACCTAAGAGTTCATATAAGAAAGAAAGAAAGAAAGAAAGAAAGAAAGAAAGAAAGAAAGAAAGAAAGAAAGAAAAAGAAACAAGAAAGAAAATATTTAAAAGGACAGGAAGGAAAAATAATTTAAAAGAAAATAAAGAAAGAAAGAAAAGTAAAGAGAAAGAAACGAAAACAAGCTGCGTTTCATAATGGAAAGAATGAAAAAAAAAAGAAAGAAAAAAAAAAGAAAGAAAGAAAGAAAAATATTTAAAAAGGACAGAAAAGAAAACATAATTTAAAAGAAGATAAATGAAAAAAGAAAAGAAAATTGATAGAAAGCAAAAACAAGTTAGAAAATAAAGAAAGAAAAGTAAAGGGAAAGAAAGCGAAAACAAGTTACGTTTCATAATGGAAAGAATGAAAGAAAAAAGAAAGAAAGAAAGAAAAAAGAAAGAAAGAAAAGATATGAAAGCATTTGCGAAATTCAAAAACCAAAAATAATTTGATATAAAACGAATGAGATAGAAGAGTAAAATCAATGATGTGAAATGAATTGATAAAAAAGGGGGAGAAAGAAAAAATATGAGAAAAAACGAAGAAATAATTTCAGAAATTAAGAAAGAAAACGAAAATAAATTGAGAATGAAATAAAAAAAAGTAGAGAAAACAAAAAGGAAGAAATGAGAAAAGTAAGAAAAAATTTGAAATTTGAATTAAAAAAGATCAAGTGAAAATGCATAAGTGTAATTATTACGAAAATGTAAATCGTCCTAGAATATGATAAAGAAAAAAGTACACAAATATGTAAGAGTTTAGAACAATGAAATAAAGATAAATGTGAAAAGAAAGAAAGAAAATAAAACGAAAATATATTTAGAATATAAGCCAGCGTAAGAAACGGCATTTTGTGTTTGGGGCACTGATTTTTGCACCACATCACCGCGCTTCATTCTGGATATCACTACGCCGCCGTTGGCACTTTTACATGAAAGCAAATAGTCACCCTGCATCTCAGAAGGTTGCACTAAAAAGCCTGTAACTGAACCCAGAAGTCCACAAGGATGTTTGGCTTTGGGGATTCTGTGCGAAAGGACCTCTTGGTGACTATGATTCGTTTTCAGCATCATGTGTGTACTTGCTTCTAAGATATGAAGGTGGGATTTGGTGGAAACAGAAAAAGGAAGACAAAAGTAGAATCTGAAACAAAAAGAGGAATAAACCGAGTTTATTTCTTGTATTTTAATAACTCTTTCCTATTTTATACATGTCCCTAGTTTTTCTTCTTCTTCTTCTTCTTCTTCTTCTTCTTCTTCTTCTTCTTCTTCTTACTATTATTATTATTATTATTATTATTCGTTGTCGTCGCCATCCGTTCATCTCGGGAGATGATGAAATGGCGCTTCTTCTTTTTTTTTTTTAAATTCTAACCGATGGAGTTACATCGCCTCTGGTGACTGTGTAGTCCCACCCTGGAGCGGCAGTCTCTCGGGCACTTGGCGCAGATGAAACTGGATAACACGGGAACGGGGTCTGTCCTTGCTTTTCTCCTGTCTCTCTTTGCTGCCGGCTGATCATCCCTCGCGGCTTCTGCAATCGTGACGTCATCACTGACTGTGGCTCTCCAAAGCCGAAACGTTGTAACAAATATGGCGACAAAGATGAGGACAATAGTCCGACTAATGTAAATAGGGTACATAATACCTCATCCCAGAAATATAGACAGATAAGCAAAATATTTTGATGCATTTCAAACCGAATTTAAATTTATTGGAACTATATTTTATATGATTATCATTAAAATCTAAAAAGTCGTCTATATTGGTAAATCTGAGAACACAGGTTAATTCTCATTATTAAACAATATTTCCAACGCAAAATATACTTTTCTGAAATTTTATTTAACGAATATCATCTGATTTAAAGTTAAATTATTCTGAATCGAAACAAATATTACTTACTTTTGCTTTAAAACATCACTGCAAAGAATTTTAACACTAAGGTAGGTGTTTTATGAGGTGTTTATCGCTCTATCAACAAACTAATATTTAGTAAATCTAACAAAGGGATAAATAACTGTAAAAAGTACTTGGTGTATATACGGAAACCAATTCATATATAATTCTTTTAACTAACGAGTATTCTTCAAATTTACAGAAAATATTCTACACAATGTAAATTACCAATAATTTTTAAATTTACTATAGTTACCGCTATTTCTGATAATATCGTGTATTGACATCCGTATTTACAGAAATCGACACGTTTGTACACGTATAAAACAAATTCAAAATTATTTTAGTAAATATTGGGTTTCATTAAAGGGTAGTACCCTTTTGCACTTATGATTGTAATTTAATTTATCACTTGACCGATACAAATTCAGACTGAATTTTAAAAGATCTAACGTGTTATAAATTATTCTAATTAAATTTTTTGTGATGTCAACGAACACCCGTTGCCACTTTTGTAATATCAACGAATACTCGTTGTCACTTTCGTAATGCTCATTGTAGTAGAGACTTTGTAATCGCAGATACAACTAATGCCATAGAACGCTACTAGTGTTAGACGGCTTCGAATAACACTCGCATTAATAGTACTTGCTCGATAATATTCGCTCGAAAAGTAACCACCGAATAGCGATCCGTAGTCCGTATAGTGGTGACATTCACTAACAGCCTCACGCGGTTGGATGTGGCACAATGCCGAGTTTATTGTGGGGCATCCGTGGCCGTAAGCTCGACCAAAAATTCCCCGTAGACCCCGTAAAAAACGGGGCCGGGTAGCTGTCTCCCGAGACGAGACCCTGTCCTTCGACATAGCCTCGTCTTGGGGATCCTCTCTGCCCTGAAGCAGAGAGTTTGACCAGCACACTTCCCAAGTAATCCGGATAGAGATCACTTAGGTGCCACGCTAATTCCCATATATACATTTCCTTTACCATCACGTGATCTATTTATTCAAAATGGGATCGCCTGTGTTTGCTCTCTGGTGACCTGTGTTCAAACTCCAGTTTCGGCAGAGACATTTTATTTTTATATAACAAAAATAAGACATAATTCTTCTTATCTTCATTGTTCATCAATCATTTATTCTTGAGGCAATAGGTTCCGTAATATTCCTAAAAGCTATCAAAAGATTTTCTATTTAAATAATGTCTTAGTTTTATTGAATTCTTTTATTTTACGATTTATTGCAGATTTTCCGTAATTGGGTGTCCTGTTTACACATAGTTGAATCTAATGAACTAGACGAGATTTCGAACTGAACTCCCCGATTTCTCATTTCGATCCGATATCCATTTCACCACCCGCACATCCTCATATATATATATATATATATATATATATATATATATATATCTGTTGTGCTTTTCAGCATGATGACGGATGCTCATCTCGAAAAAGCTCCACCTTGAAACAAAGAACATCAATGTTTTATTTTTATTTTCTTTCTTGAGCAATTTATTTCCTTCATCATGAAGCTGTATAACGTTTCTTGACGCAGAAATGGTAATGGCGAACAAAGTTCAAATCGTGGACTAAACTGTTGCGTTCTCCTCTTCAGAACACCCTTGAGATAGCCTCGTTCTATTTCTTCTCTCCCCAGTTATGGGTTAAATAGCGGCGTAGGCGATTCTCTAAACGCGGTTGTCAAGCTATTTATGAGAAATTGAATTCTGAATTCAAATTCTTGGAAACGCCAACGGGAAACGAATCCTCTATCTTTCCCAAGAATACTGACAATTCATAAATATTACAAATATGAAGTCTTGAAGAACATCCTGATGCGACAAGGAATTTAAAAAAAAAAAAAAGCACACATTTTAAACTCTCTGATTTTTTTTTTTTTGTGTAAGAAAGTTGCATGCTATAATAAATTATTTTCTGATTTTTTAAAAATATTTTTTCTTTATCTTTTGCAGGTAAGTACCTAACGCTTGCATACGAAACTAATTACGGTAAGAAATGCTCACTTCTTTTTTCTCCATTTAAAATAAAGTTGTTTGCTGAATCTTACGTATTTTCAACAGAATTCTTTTTCATTTGTTCGATTTTTGTTTCCCCCCACCATTTCTGTAGAGCCAAAAGTTCCTTGTTTTTTTTCACTGTTTAAGATGCTTAAGATGTTCCAACATACACACCTCAAATACATGAGATGAATGCAAACAAACATAATAGATATGATTTTTTTAACGTATTCTTGTAATTGGGATGGTAATGTTAGCTGTTTCCCGATATAGATGCTTTCAGCATTTATTAACCGTACAGGTAGGGCTATTCATAATCTGTCTATATTTCTGAGATGAGCTGCATTATTTACATTATTTACATCATCCTCATCTGTGTCGCCATATTTATTACAACGTTTCGGCCCTTCAGTATCTGCCTAAACTTCTGAGATGATGTATTATGTACACTATTTACATTATTCGTACTATTGTTCTCATCTTTGTCGCCATATTTATTACAACGTATCGGCCCTTCAGTATCTGTCTATATTTCTGAGATTAGGTATTATGTATACTATTGACATTATTCGGACTATTGTCCTCATCTTTGTCGCCATATTTATTACAACGTTTCGGCCTTTCAGTATCTGTCTAAACTTCTGAGATGAGGTATTATGTATACTATTTACATTATTCGGACTATTGTCCTCATCTTTGTCGCCATATTTATTACAACGTTTCGGCCGTTCAGTATCTGTCTATATTTCTGAGATGATGTATTATGTAAACTATTTACATTATTCGGACTATTTACATTATTCGGACTGTTGTCATCATCTTTGTCGCCATATTTATTACAACGTTTCGGGCCTTCAGTATCTGTCTAAACTTCTGAGATGAGGTATTATGTACACTATTTACATTATTCGGACTATTGTCCTCATCTTTGTCGCCATATTTATTACAACGTTTCGGCCGTTCAGTATCTGTCTATATTTCTGAGATGATGTATTATGTACACTATTTACATTATTCGGACTATTGTCCTAATCTTTGTCGCCATATTTATTACAATGTTTCGGCTGTTGTAAGCTCCGGCCTTCTTCAGGTGGTTGGAATGTCGAACTGAACCCTTTATTTCACTCACTAGGGTAGACCGTTCTAGTTACACGTGCCATGTTTAATGGATGTCAGTTATCAGTCATCTCCTGTTAATTTCTCTCTGAAAATTCTCCACTGCCTTAACCGGGTATTGAACCAACACTCTTTGCGTCCTGTCACTGGATCTAACTAACGCTTTTATCCACTGTGCTATGTGTCCAAAAACTATGGATTTAACAGCACGAGACACTAAATTCGCTAGCCTTGTTTGGCGGCCAGTCAAGAATAACAACAACTTTGAATTCATAACGGTGGAGAAACAACGAAATACCAGTCTATTATTTAGTATTTATTATTTACAGGTGACAAAGAAAACGAAGCTGTGGAGAACCCTAATCGCCAACCATTAAAAAAAGCATACAAACATAATTCTGCCTCACCTTTGGGCGCATCACTAAGAGCATATCTCATTTTTTTGACTTTGTAGTGTCTCTTATGAAGCCGGCTTAAAATCCAAATTATTCTACTTGGCAATTTTTCCTAAATGTATCTCGTTTTTCCGAGAATCTCATCTTTCCGAAAGTCTATAGCATATCCAATTCCATACGCAGGCTACTGCTGAAGATAACATCCTGTGACACCCACAAAGCCTTCACTAAATATTGATTCACGTGTAAGACGTGCTTTATTTGTTATTTTATAGAAACTGATATTTTAATGCTTCCCTATTTTTCACTTCGAATGCATTTGGTACACGACATACATTAAGATATCTATTTTCATAAAATAGCAATCTTACAACGAACATTACCACCAAATATTGTCCGCTTTCTACATACCAAAGTGCATATATACACAACAAAAATAGAGTATGCATCACTAATTTGCCAATTGATTCACCGGTTTATTTTATCACTCCAGGAATGATCTAAATTCTTCTGCTGTTTTGTTTATATGAGAGCCAAATTAGACCAAAGATGGTGCATTGCTTTCGTACGTAGGCTAGAGATGATCTATCCTCACATTCCGATCTTGATAGAGCTCTAAATTATTTAATCCGTTTCGTAGAGTAAGCCTACTCCACTGTACGTCTTTCATGCAGAAAAAATACATAGGAAGACTACTCTATCGCCATTCGCAAGGAAAATGTTCAAATGAGCTTCATTCTTTAATTTCCCAAGTTCAGACCTTTACAGCTAGGACAGGCCATGCTGCTTCTATGAAGTTAAATCATCCACATTTCCCCCGTGTTCCATTTATAAACAGAAAATGTCCACTCAGACAGCTTTTTACCAAGAATGCTACATTATGGAACATACCATTTCACGTTGTTATTTACGTTATATATCCTCATAATTTTTCACTTCCCCACACCTCTTTCATCCATGTCCCACACACCCCTCATCATTACCACTTTAATTGTAATCTTCTACCTTGCTTTGTATGGGGTAAATTATCTTGTATGAAAATGAATTTTGATCTTTTCTATCTACAATATTTAATCTGCATGACTAATGAAGAATAGTTGGATTAAGTGCATTACCAAGGACAC